GGATCAGAACAATCGAATAAACCCAGATAATTGTGTGGTTGTCATTGAACGAACCATCTAAAAATGACCTTATGATTGCAGAAAACTTATAGCTGGAACTCACCGTATGTTTTTGGAGAAGTGTCATCCTTGTTGTTTGGCAATGGAACTCGAAACTTTGAAATTAGGCAGGCAGTGGTCGGAAGAAAAGATATTACATGATAGTGCATAGTTTAAAACAGGAAGAGGTAATAAGATAAGGAACACTGAATATTAGATCCAGGTGACTATTTAGTCCTTGCTGCATTGTTAGTTAATGTATATTTACGCCATTTACAGGTCATATTTGCTAGAGCTTGATGTTTAAACAAGACTATGTCGCTGAAGCATGTAAATGCTATTACAGCTTGTTAACAAACCATCAAAGCTAATTAGTTAATATAGACAACCAGTTTTTATTATCGATTGAGCTAGTTTGTCATGAGGACTAATCAATATAACATTACGATAATGCATGTGAGCATTAATCAGAGGACTATTAGAATACAGGGTTAACATAAATATAAATCGATCGAGAAAGTTGAAGTGGAAATAAGGATTAATAATAATAGGTTGCGTTTCTTTAGTTGGGCTCACCAATGTGGAACTATGGTCTACTATGATATTAGTTCTGCTCTAATAATGAACCTAATCCTAAATTTGTAGATTTGTCATGATATAACTGCCTAATCTATAAGATCTTACGTGGAAGTCACACCATCGACTACACCAACTCACTGTATCGTATCAATTACCAATACATGATGTAGAACAAGGTTAGGCTAGAGAAAGAACAATATATTTAGTATGAGTAGAAGATATAAAGTAACATTGAGATGGACCACGCCTGCAGGGTCGAGCCATGCCACTCGATCAACTCCAGTACATTCAATTCATTCTCCGCGCCTTTTCCATTGTTAGGTATTTCCCCAAGTTAAATATTGAATATCTATTTTCTGAGTAGTCTCGTGTTCACAGCTTTGTGGATTGTGTGGCTATTGTCCAATGCCACTACAAGCTCCGTTCTTCAAAGTGCCTTACCACCGGAGACGGAAATCCGTGAGGTGTGACATTTTTACCGTTCTCCAATCGACCTGCCTGGCATGGTAGAACCTACAGGAACACATGTTCAGCCAATATAGCTCGGTTGGGTCATCACGATAGGCGAGCTCGGCCACCGCGTCAAGGTAGCAGCTTCGGTCGGGGGAATACGACGTATACGACACCCTATCCTTTTTTTATCTCTCTCCCCCTCGACAGTGCTGTTATGGGGTCCTCAAATGTTGAGGGCGACACATCTTATTCACCATCGATAACTGTCTCTAGTGTTAAAAGCTCCTTGATAAAACCTCCTGACCACCCCCGAATACACTACCTGTCTATTCAACTCCACCTCCCACTCCTAAACATAATTCTTTCGCCAAACTAACTTCCGACAACCCTTCTCCCATTAACCATATTGGTAATAAACCAAACGAACATGAATTTGGAGCCAATGCTCCCACTTCTTATGGCAAGACGCACAATGCACTGGCTTTTCATCACACCCTTCTACTAGACAAACACTTGCCGTACCTGACACGTATGCTAATCAATACTCCATCTGTTCAAAATAGGATGAACTGTAGAATTATGGTCTACTATGATATTAGTACTGCTCTAATAATAGACCTAATCCTAAATTTGTAGATTTGTCATGATATAACTGCCTAATCTATAAGATCTTACGTGGAAGTCACACCATCGACTACACCAACTCACTGTATCGTATCAATTACCAATACATGATGTGGAACAAGGTTAGGTCAGAGAAGGAACAATATATTTAATATGAATAGAAGATATAAGGCAACATTCAGAGGGACCACGCCTGCATGGCCGAGCCATGCCATCCTATCAACTCCCATTCATTCAATTCATTCTTCACGCCTTCTCCATCGTTAGGTATTTTTCCGCGTTAAATATTGAATATCTATTTTGCGAGTAGTCTCGTGTTCAGCTTTGTGGATTGTGTGGTTATTGTCCAATGCCACTACAGAACCACCTACGCATTTTGTTACTTTTAAACAACCCTTCACTTGTTTTGATAACGGAAAGTTGATTGTCCTCCGATATCACAGAATCATACCCCCAGATAGACACCTATGAGCTCTTCCGCTGTGGTCGAGTCACCAAGAAGGGTGGTGCTTGTCTTGAATATACATCTAAAAATTTGGGGGCGGAAGGCTATACCAACCATATCCTCAGCAAACTACCAGATTTGATATGGCTTACTGTACACACCCATGAACGTAAAATACTGATCAGATGTATATATCGAGCTCCTAACTCTCCCAGTTCAACCGATACTATTATCATTGAGTTATTTGCTAATATTGCCTCACTTGATTCCGACTACACAATTGTTTGTGGTGATTTCAACCTTACAATCATCAAATGGAAGACACATTCTGGCCCATTGTACTATGAAGACATACTTTGGTCTTTAGACACACATGGTCGGCAGAAACATGTACACCTGCCTGCTCAAAATCACAACATTCTTGACTTGATATTCTGTCACAATGTCACGCCAATATCAAAAGTCCACTGCACCATTCCCATTTTTGTCAAGTGCACCAAATTAAAGACATTAAATATGCGTTTCCAATATAGAGACTATGCAAGCGCTGACTGGGAAAACTTTCGATTTCTAATAAAGTACTCTGACTGGGGCAGTTTCTTTACCAGTGATAATCTCTTAGAAACATTAGAGATATTCAATACTACCATCAAATCTGCACTGGACACTACCATCCCCTCTAAAATTGCTTTCTAAACAATTACTCTCTTTATCAACCAAAATACTAAAAAGAACGTAGTATGTATCAAAAGACCTCAATGCCCTGCACCAGATGTACTCTGTACTTGAAGGACTGCAAACTCAACACAACAAACATAAACATGCAGACGAAAGTACAGCGCTTACTGCTGCATCTAGAGTCAAAAACTTATGTTGTCTCCTTGCAAAACGCATAAAAAAGAACGCAGATCACAAAATTCACTCTTTACTGCACGATGGTGTGACGTATAATGACCAAACCGTCCATGTACGAACTGTGAAGTGAATGGTTTTCTCACAATGGGAATACATCTCATACTTCTGACTTGCACAAATCTAGAGAAAACGAACACATCCGCTTGGTGTCCATCATTGATGTAAGTTGTTTCCAGTTAAAGCAGATTCCATGTACAAAAAGTGTATGCATAAACCATTAAACCTAAAAATTGGCTTTTATGCACATTTCTTGAAAGTATTTATTTGTATAGAGTATGCGAATCTTAGGAAAATCTCTGTAAATACCTAGTCAACACAAAGTACCTCGATCACTAGTCTATATATTTCTCCGCCGTTTTCGTAATCCAAGTCTTGTGCTGTCTTGTATCATGTTCTTAGGTCTTCAACATCTCACGTAGACCTTACACACGGCCTTTTATAAAAAGTTTTCATTGTTAGCTCCGTATTTCAAAAGACCTAACCTCCAGCAGTGAAAGTGAAATTGTGAAAGCGTGAAGTTTCTACGGCCAACCTTTTCTTACTGCTTCTATTATGACGAGGCAACATCGGCGTAGAGGGTGATTATATGAGGCGAACATCTTAATACCGTCACATTCCAGTATAGTCAGCAGCACGACCTTGCCCTCGGGACTTCAGTTACTGCTTTTAGTCTCACCGTCCCATAACTGACCTCTCTAACGTGATAGTGTGGTGTGTGCTACTGATGTTGACAGATATAAGTAGTATGTATCATCAATTGAGAGTGAAATTCCTGGAGGCAGAAGGTTAAGACGATAAAAAAAGAGAACAAGAACAAAGGTTGATTGGTGTGGAAACGAAAAAACAATAAAGTCTGAGACGATCGATTGACATTTTGCAAATAAAGTATTTACTGTATGGTTCTCAGATTTTACTAAGATGTTCTGTAATTTTGTGTTCATATACATAGGATTGTCCCCACTTGTGTTCTCGTTTACTACAGTAGGACCTAAAGTATTTTAGACAATATAGCTCGACCGGGTCACATGGTATACAAACCTAGAAGTAGCAATTACAGTCGGGACAAAATCAGTATAGCAACAATAAAACTCATGAGTGATTATATTATTATGGAACCTTTATGCACAATAAATTCACTACTTCTGGCTCATTTGTATGCGAAATGGAGATAGTTAATGGTTTTCATTTACGAATTTAATAGTACCTCAAACAAGTAAGTTCTCAAACTCAGTTAAACCTATCTATTAGATAGATTTACGGGATACATTTTGAGTCACACTGTGTAAGGGCTTTTGATAGTACTCGGTTGCCTAAGTAAGTTCTCGTTCAAACATATAGTCAAATGGTTTAAAATCAAATTGATCGTTTAAGAGTATCACTTTTAACCAACATACTCTACTTTGAGGTACGAAGATAACGGGTGAGGCAAAATACAAAAATAGGAAACTGAAGGTTGATTCAAAAAAATTGGTTACCTTAAAATACAATAAACGAAAACAGCTTTTACAGGTATCCACTCTTTATAGTATTAATACAGATTCCTAAAAGTCTGGTGTATTGTACTCTCTGATTTACCGTGCTTAGAAGCTACCGCTCAACTGTCTCAGGTTAATTTGTCGTTATCATACCAAAATCTGAACTGTAGTGGAAACGATAAGAAGTTGGACTAAAACTCACTAGTCATCGACTAAAAACTCGTGTATCACCACTCTTTTGATATTCCTTTGAAATTCCTAAACAGAAAACATTTTGACTCAGCAAATAAAAAAACATTTTGCAACTGTTTTTCTTTAACTATACGAATCCCAATTTGTTGTGTCTGTGGATGCGCTATAAAAACCACAGTTTACTTAGTTTTGTGTTTTACTTTAACTTTAAAGTTGACATCTTTATTTTTAATTATCAGGAAATAAATAACTTTCGTCAGGGTCTGTTGGATATGTTTATGATCGATTTTGTTTGCATCCCATTGGTTTACACACAGGTTGGTTTTTTAATAAACCCTTTCATATAACATCTTCACACACCGCATAAATGGTACATTTGATGTTGTTTCTGTACATTCACTTTTCTAACACTACCATATTTTTTCCACTCTACTTATGTCAGTAACCATTTTGTAAAAAAGTATGATAAATAGTATTTCTATTTCACTTTGTAAGTTTCGAGAATCATAAATGTTCTGTGGAGGCATGGTTGTAGTTTACTTACCGAATGTCTGCAGTGTTACACTTTTCCGACGTCTGAAATATTTTATCACAACCATCTTTGTTCATAATTATGTATTCCATCTGAATAAGAAATAGATACCGTTTCTCCTAAAACACAATTTATCATTTGTGAAGAACACACAAATTACAACAGGGCCTTGACTAACTTCGAATCTGAGCAGTTTGTGGTATTCCATCCAAGTAATGTGTGTGTAACAACAGACCTTAATCCAACGTAATTTTCTTTCATTTTATGACGCCATTCCATAGACTGACAATTCTAACTTTTACCTTTTAGGCAGTGTCTAATATGAACGCCACTCTAGCCACCAACGTCGGTATTCTAGAAGGGTTCCATTATTCGTATAATAAGCTACACTAGTCTAAAACCATTTTCTGTATTTCCTCAGCTAGTACGTATTCCGCTGCTAACCACCATCCGACCTTCCTCACAATGCTTGTAGCTTAATGGGAATATCGGGTTAATCTTCAAAAACGTATATGTACCGAAGGAGACTCGTTAATTGTGGTCCTAAACATCAATGGGAAGATTCAGACAACCAATACAAATAAATTAGTTTGAGCAATCATTCAGAAAAAGCAGCAGTAAAACCCAGGAAGCCACGAAACGTCTACGGCCAAGTTTCACAAGAATGGAATACGAAAGTGATGTACATACAAGCTTACATGTGGCCAAAGATTACCCAGATTAATTTAAACTTCTCATCTGTTGCACAACCACTCCGAAAATTCATACGGCTACCCAGATAAGCGAACTTTTTGACTACGAACATAAATTTTAAGCGCCTCAATTTCGTGGGTATCAATACCAAGGTTGGACTTGGTAATTTCAAATAAGTTGAGGATTGGTTAGGAAGTTAGTAATATATATATATATATATATATATATATTTCTGGTAGGTCGGTCACTTTTGTGATTAGTTAATATATGATATAGACTATACTGCAGAAGTAAATTTCAGGTAAATAGACAATGTAGATGTTATTGTCCATATTTTCACTGACATTTATTCTATGTTCATGTTTTATCACCTGACCGCACTTCTCTAGATTAAAAAGCACATTTTATTAGTTATAAACATCAAATTACTTTTTATGTCTTAATAGGTTGTCACATTGGCAGTATATATTTATTTCATAGCCTCACTTGTTGGTCGTCAGTTTATAATCGATAGTTCGCGAACAAATTCACAAGATCTCTATTTTCCTTTCTTCATGTTCCTAGAGTTCATAGTGTATATGGGATTGTTAAAGGTAAGCGGTATCATAATTCTGGTCATATACTATAATTACTGTTACATAGAATCAGTTAAGCGGGTTCACTAACTACTTCCTTACGTACTTTTCTTCCTTACTTTCTTTACTCTACCTTACTTAACTAATTACTTACCTACATAGTTACTTGTCACTTTTGTACCTGACACTTTCATTTTTTGTCTTCTTCAGGGGCCGGTATTCTGATTCTTAACGTTCACGTCGCTATCGTTAATGGGTACAGAGCACTGGATGACATTCATCGTAATCCCCTCCTTTGTTGTAAAGGATGCTTTGATGATCCTGCATCCGTAAGATTCCTATCCTGCAAGTGCTTTGTGTGCTTCTTTGAACAGAATCAGTGGAACTCCTTGTGTGTGCGAAGCATTTTCTTCATGACCAAATCACAACAGCACGTCTCTTGAAGTTACTCTTTCCTGTCGATCTTGCCTCCGATGGGTTTTACTTATTCCAAGCATCACCAGGTTGTATTTTTTTCGTTTCCCCAACTATTTGACTGGTCTTGCCACATTGTGTGGACTTTCTGTGTACCTATGTCAATTGTTGCGCTGGTTTTCAGAAGGGGCATCGGCCTAGAAACTTCCGGAGAGTCTCGGTTTTCACCATAAGGCGTCAAAATGAATGAAAATCCTCCAACTCGGAGAACAGAGTTTAAATGGTTCAAATTGTTTCTTCTGGTTAGCGTTTTTTATGAACGTTTTCTATGGGATGGGGTTGTTGGTCCCTTGCCCAACCCTCCTTTATCCGGACTTGGGACGCGCAGTTATTTATTTATTTATTTGAACACAAATTTTGGTGCAAGGGGGGAACAAAGGTACATCCAGAAAGAATTCTTTCAGAAGTTGCGGCCACTTTTTATGAAGAAAGTAAAAAAAGGTTACAACAGGATCGCCACTGGCTTCTATTCTGAGCCATATCTGATAACGTCTCTAGCCAGTGTTGCACCATCTCTAGCATTCCAACCAGGGAGTCGTGAAGAACCAACACAAGCCAGCCCTTTGCAGCTTTCTTTGACTCCACGACACCATGTCATACAATGACCACCTCTCCGCTTTTTCCAACCAGTCCCAGAGTCGGCAAATAATGCACGACGTGGAATTCTCTGTGACGACATTCGTAGAACACGTCCAAGCCACTGAAGTCGATGTTTCAAGATGATGAAACCAATTGAACTATCGTCTGTGCGCTCGAACACACGATGCCGAACCTCTTCATTACTGAAATGGTGTTACCACTGGATGTCAACAATCCGTCGGAGACAACGATGATCAAACACAGAGATTCGTCTAACATCCTCAACTCGAAGAGGCCAGGTTTCACAAGCATAGGGCAAAACTGCTCTCACCGACGCGTTGTAGATCCGACCTTTTACAGCCAGACTAACGTCACGAAGGTGCCAAAGATGGCCCAGATTGGAATACACCGCTCTGGCTTTCACCAAACGTGAATCGGTTTCATCACTCACACCACCACTAGCACTTATTCAGCTACCAAGATACACGAACTTCTCGACTACTTCTATCTGCTCACCACCCAGGGTGAGTACAGGATTAAAATCCTGCCAGTCTTGTAGAAGTATTTTGCACTTCGAAGGTGCGAAGCACATACCATACCTACGGACAGATTGCATGGCTTCGGTATTATAGCATAGTAAGACAATATCATCCTGGTTGGGCAGTAATCTATGACAGCTCCAAACCTTGTTTCCCTGTTTAACCAGTTTGTAAATACACTAATATATTGATTAATTTACTCAAGAAATTCACATACGAAAGTATTAGTTTTTCATACATAAAGTAATAAGTGGTTTACTGTAAAGCTAGATATATTCGAAATTGATAGACAGAGACCAGTTAGTTTTATTATTATTATTATTATTATTATTATTATTATTATTATTATTATTAATGGCATTATTCAATATTATCTTTTTGGTACAATATAGAATTCTCAGCACAATATAGTTTAGTCTATATGTGAGCTGCTTCCCCTCTTCATACCTAGTTGAGTCACATTTTTCCTTCCGAGAACTAAGGACTTATTTCAGTATGATTTTTCCAGGTATAGTTGTAAAGGCTCTCCTTGGCATAATTCTACTATCCCTTGGAGATACATTGTTATTCAGTGAAACATTCAATAGCCCTTAAATTTAGTTATCACATGCTTTTGCTTGGATCGCTTATAGGCTGACCTCTGTTTCTGACCGATATTAAGTATCGAACAAACGGAAACTAAAATGACGTGTAATTAGTGATCGTAATTCCATTAACATGACTCATTCTGATTTTGCCATCCAGCACTTATTTTGCATGTAATAAATGGTCTTCTCGCCTGTTGTACATATCTATACTGTTCATTTCAATTATAGCCGTGTTGATTACCGATAACTTTAAGTATATATAGTGATAAGGAAGACAGCAGTTATTACCAGTCACTTGTACCCCCCGATAAAAAAACTGTCGGTAAGTCACTGTCTCTATATAAGTAAATAGGTCTGTTCGAACTACCGGTTTAAAAAAAATTTATGGCGTCCCTTCACTTCATTTTGGGTTGTGTTATCAAGTAGGAGTCACTTGAATGGCGTGAGTTACTATCAGTTTATCTTTAAGTGATCTTTACCACTCTATGAAATTAGTTCTTATAAATATTTTGTTAAACCAAAACAGTTAGTGGCTTGACAATTCTAACCGAAAAATAATTTGTAATGGTTTGGATTCTATTCTATATAACCGAACAAAGTTTCCATCACATTACATGGCCCTGAATGCCCTGGTACGGTCGAGGGCGGGGAGAGTCAGCTCTCCCTCTCGAAATTCTCGCACATGGCCGTGCGTATAAAACCACTGCTAGGGAAGTCCCACTCATTGCCTTCTCACAGCGGGGATGTTTTTTACGAAATTAAGAGGACGAAAAGCAGATGCCCGGCGCTTTAACCGGGTTGGTGGAAATGGAGGTTCCACCTAGGGGACTTGGAAACCCCTGATTCCAAACCAATTGTGCACATGAACTCCAGGATCTTGAGGGAACAAATGGCGTATGAACCAATTATTGGTTACCGGCTACCATGGGACTGCGTTTCCTGATGTTGCTCCACTGCCTTATGGATCAGACCATTGGGTCTAAGGCTCCAGGTGTGCCCATCCCTTAAAAAACCACCTTCGGTCTGAGCACCCAGTCAGTATCACAGTCCACACACAAATCAAATGACTTGCGTGGCTCATATGTATTCGGTGCCGATTTGTACCAATATTTATATGTTCAAATAAATAAATAAGCAAACGGAGCAGATCACGAATTAAATTTGTCTTGACCAAAATATAACTTTTCAGTAAACAGCTGTGGCAAATAATCAGTAATCTGCTTTCCTGAATATGGAATCCAAAGCAGAACTGTATGTACCATTAGAGCCGTAGTTGAGATCTGTAAATTTGGCACACCGGTCATGTTGGCGCAAAACAATGAAGATAAAATCCAATGGAAATGAAGAAGGGGCGCTTCTTCACTGAATCCACAGAAGAATACACCTTGACGCAACTAAATTTTCAGGGGTCAGAAAGTACCTTTCTTGTTCCTTTACGTACGTCAGAGATGAATTTTATAAGCTATAGACTGCGTAGTTAAGGCCGAGGTAACTTCAGCGACAGTGAAATTTCCTTACCTTATTTTACTATTATTTTAGATCATGAATGATTGTTAGTTCTTGCATACACACTGCACCCTGGGTTCTCTCATGTCCCTCGTTGCGGTCTGTTGTCACAGGAATAAAAAAACATTTGGAATGAGAAAAGGTAAATGGGAATCAAAAAGGAAATGGTAAGAGTGACGAGATTTCCACGTTAGTCTCTCTCCTATTTAAAACACACGGACAAACGGTGATGTTACGGCTTTTAAAGTGGAAAGATATCTTGTTTGTTTCCAAGACACTGTCAGATTGTTGAATCGCCTAGTTAAACACCTAAATGTTTTTTGACATCCGAGTATAAGCTACGGAAAGTTGTACAAAACTTTTACTTTCCACTGGTCTTTTTGAGGTTGCTTCGGGAATATTTTGTAACTGTAGCTTTACCAGGTTCTATTGAACTAGGTTAAAATGAAATATAAAAGTGCCTAATACCTGTTTCAGGGACCGATATAATAGATAATAAGTTATAAGTCTGATAATAAGGCCTTAATGTTATAAATTCATAAATCACCAACAAAATATATCTAACTATCACTTTGATTTAACTCATTAGTAATGTATTTATCATGAGGATAAAGGTTTTCCACTCAACCCTCAGCAAAATAATGCATGCTAACTGTCAAGTGATCCACAAATTTCACCACCCACTGATTTCTCATTTTCTCATGAACATCATTCAACTTTGTCATAAGCATGCTTCTTGATATAACACTTTCATCATCTAACTTTTCAGGGATTGATCTTGTACAATGAGATTGTCTTGTTGACTTGGAATATTCTGATGATATAGTTCTGTTTTGTGAACACGTTGACAAAATGCAGTCTTGTGACCACCTTGAGCGACAATGCAAGCATTTTTGGGGTGCGGTTCTCTCCCTCCAGATGTAAAATGTTACTTCAGGATTGGCTTATGTCGCCCCCTGAATTAGTGATAGGGAATAAAGTAGTTGGGCATATCGACCACTTCAATTATCTTGGGAATCTCATCAGTGCCGATGTCTGACGAAATCTCAGCAAGCATTCAGAGGGCTCGATTGACTTTTACCAACCTGTTATATAGGCGAGATGTTCGTCCGTTTGCTACGCAGCAATTCGCTTCATTCTGCTTAATGGATGTGAAACATGGCTATTAAGTGTTGGGGATATTCGTAGGTTACTTATATTCGATCATAGGTGTTTACAAAGTACTTCTGGTGTATTTTGTGATCACGGAGTAAGCAATACCTGGGTTAGGAGTAGAGTACTAGGTAGAAATGGGAAATCGATTGGTAAGGTAGTAAATCTTCACTAACTGAGGTGGTTGAGACAGGTGTTATGTATGCTTGACCCCTGCCTACCTCGATAGGTGGCCTTCTGGTGTAAGAGTAGGCTGAAAGCAAGCTAGTGGTGGCCAAACTAAAGTATGCCATCAGTCTATGAAGTCACAAACAATTGGATTTAGCCATTTTAATGGTTGTAGACCACCTGTTGGAGGTCCGCGTGATTATCGTAACCGATGGCAACAGACTTTGGATAACATGGCTGAAAATTGTTTTCAATGGTGCAGGTGTATCCATTTTTTGTCTTCCCTCAGATTCTGAAATCCTTATGGCTCCTTCGCTTTCATTTCGTATTACGACTGGCACTGTCACTACTTCTATCATCCTGGAATTTGGCCAAATGATCCAGTAATTTCCCTAACCACTGATTTCCCAGTTTTTCATGAACATTATTTTTTCAGACACTGATCTTTTCATTAAAAGAGACGACTAATTTTTATCACTGTTCTAAGTAATTTTCATTATAAATTTAGCCATATAATTACTAAACTTTGTTGTTTATATTTTCTACATAAAATCGAAAATTCTATTGTTATTTTTAAGTCCGAAGGAAATATTCTAAACTCATCTTGTTAGAAAACCTGCATGTGCCTCTATGCCTCAGTAAATAGTGAACCATTTATTTGTTTTTCTTCAATGAGTTTGTTTAGACGCGTTTTTATTTGAACAGAGCAGTAGAAAAAGTGTGTAGTACCCGTTCAGTATCAATAGTGGTAAACTGATCAATTATTTTCTTAACACTTTTGTTCCACATGATTCACTACATTGCTTGCTACGGTATGTAAACAATTATGTTGAAAATGTCAATTTTACATGTCTAATAAATACGCTAACTTTTGGTGTGTAATTCCTTTGTTATTTAATTAAACTAACTTTTTTCAAGCGTTTTATGATGTTCATTTTCCATGGCATCAATCTGTTTTATGCTTCTTACATCCTGCCATATTTGATCTGCAACATAATTTTTCAACTAAAATAATCTTAACTGCTTGTATTAAGTACTGTCGCGTTATTGTGCAGATTTAGGTTGGTTTTCTATTAAATTTTCTATACAGAAATTAAGAGTTTGTTCCTCTTCTTTTGTAAAGGTTGCCGAAACACTGGTTAATCCTATGGGGGAAAATGACGAAGATATTGATATTAATGAGGTGATAGACTTTAATTGGAAAGTAAGTATTAAATACGAACTGTTTGACTTCATTCAGCTTTTGTGTATTTATATTATTTGATCAACATGATAACTCTCAGTACCGATTACTACGTACTCTTATTTCATCAGCTACGTAGATGGTTATGGTCATCTACAACTAGTCGTAAAGCTAACCTAATGACAGTTAGTCCAGAGTCGATTAATCACGCATGGTTTTATCGTTCTCATGTAAATTATTCGGGAAGTTACTAGATACAGAACATACAACAAAAAAGATTTATTAGTAATTGAGTGTGAACTTTCGATGTGCAATAGTTAGTGTTTAAGAATGCTACCTAACCTTGTTTAGTAACTCTTGTGACTTTTATTTATTTGTTTAAGTGTTCATATTTCTCCCAGAAATATCTTTAATCTAGATGTATGTAGCTCATAATGTAGTGAAGAAGAACACGGGTGAGGACAGCCAAATTGTATTTAGGGCAAATTACAGAATTACTTGGTAAAATAGAAAAGCCATATAGTAAATCGTTAATTTGCAAAATGTCATTCTATCACATCCATTGTCTCGCATTTCATTGTTCATGCGATTTCTTACAAAGTCCATTGTTTTCTCGCTCTTCTTTTCTTGATCTTCTCCATCTTCTGCTGCCAGACATTGCGTTCTTTTGACTCACGTTATATACTACTTATATCAATATAAGTAGCACGCACCACAATAATATCTGTTATACGAATTTGTACTTGGTTTCTTGTTACTTTTTGTTTTATAAGTTTCTTATTTCCCAAAATTCATATATCCGTTCAATCTGTGTTAATATCAACAAATATCGACAAATACAAATTTAGTGCTAACAAGACATTTTTGATGTTTACCTAGACTGGATGGTGTATTGTTGATGGAATGAAAACAAGCGCTCCAGCTATTGTACGAGATTTCCACTGGCAACAATCCGTCATCGAATTACCCCACACACAGGAATCCAAACGACTAGCTTCTCGCCCATTTAGAGGATCGACATATAATATAAAGTAAAACAGTATTTCTTAAAACATTTCTTTTTATGTATATATATATATCTTCAAAATGTCAGGAGGCACTGAGCGACGAGAAGCACTATCACAAAAAAACACATCCTCAATGGCATGTTGGGCAAGATTTCAGAAAGGAAGAACAAGACAGCAATCAACGACAACTGAAAATGAACAGCGAAATACAAGACACAAGTTGAATACACAGAAGCAAACAAGCAGAAATACATGGAAAGACAGAGGAACAGATGGGTGATACACTTAGAGCAACTCCTAAATAGACCAGATGCATTGTAAGCATTTGATGGTATGGATAGGAGAACCTTATGAAACCTTCTTCGACACTATGGTGTACCTGAGGTCGTCAACATCATACGGAATTCGTACGAAGGACTACACTGAAAAGTCGTGCATGGTGGACAGCTGACAGACACATTCCAAGTGAAGATCAGTGTCAGGCAAGGCTGCTCACTCTCTCCCCTTCTCTTTCTTCTGGTGGTTGACTGGATTATGGAGACCTCAACAACTGATAGAAAGCACGGACGGCTCAGAGCCAATTAGACGACTTGCACTTCGCAGATGACCTAGCTCTTCTACCCCACACAAACTAACAAATGCAGATAAGGATAACCAGAGTGGCAGAAGTCTCTGGATCAGTAGAGCTCAACGTACACAATGGAAAATCAAGATCCTTAAATACAACACGGAGAACACCAACCCAATCACATTTGAAGGAGAAGCTCTGCGAGAGGTGGAGACTTTCACACATCTGGACAGCATCATCGATGAACAAGAAGGATCTGATGCAGACGTGAAGATGAGGATTGGCAAAGCAAGGGCAGCATTCCTACGGTCGAGGATCTCCTGGAATTAAAGACAACCGTCACTCGAGACCGAAGTCATAATCGTCAATACAAACGTCAAGAAATTTCTATTGTGCAGAGCTGAGACTTAGAGAACTACTACAATCAATATGAAAAGTGTACATGTTTTTATAAACAGCTATCTACGCAAGATATTCGGCGTCCATTGACCATCAGCAAGAACCTACTGTGGCAGGGAACAAACCAGTTCCAACTGAAGAGGAAAGTAGGAAAAGTCACTGGAAGTGGATGGAACACACATTAAAGAAATCATCAAACTGCATTGCGAGGCAAGCACTAACTTGGAATTTCGAGGGGAAAAGAAAAAGAGAAAGACCAAGGTACACATTACGTTGAGAATCGGAAGCAAACATCAAAAGAATGAATAGCAACTGGAAAGTATTGCTCAGGACGGAGTTTGATCGAGAATGGTAGTCGGTTGCGCATGCTCCTCAGCGACGTTTAACAGGCGTAAGGAAGTAATATTTGTTTGTATATGATTATAAAAAAGTTAAAAAAAGCTTCTGTGTTTTCATGATCAGTTTTTGTATAACTTTTTCAACCTGTGTTACTTTATTGCTACGTTCAAATACCTACTATGGTTCATATTTATGAATGGTTTAATTGCTCTTTGTTTCCATATTGCCTGCATTTATATACCTCTTTTGTTTATCTTGTAGCTTTCCTTTCACTTCTGATATGATCGGATCTGCGTTATCTTTATCACTAATTGGTCATTCACAAGTAAGTTGGAAATTAAATCTGTCATCCATTATTTATATGATGGAAGTTTTATTCAATTACTTTGTTGAAATTTGTTGAGTGAGTTTTGCAATAAGTATTTCTATTTGTTTATATGTTAGAGTTAAATAATAACATAACAAGCTGTATCCATCACTGACAGGATTTTTGAAGAAACATTTATTAAAAAAGACAGCTGTCAGTTTAACTATCTTCGAAAAAGACGGAGTTATGTTCTGTGATCAGCTCAGAAGATTGTAACAATATGTTGAATACTTCAATAAGGAACTCAGCTAATATCCGGCTACCTTACGATTTCCAAAAATCATGAATATCAAATCGAAATAAGCTTTCGATTAGGGAGAATCAGGTTGTTTTCAGACCATCGCTTAGATGTATCAATCAAATACTCACTCTTCGCAAATGCATACTTACTGGTGGTCTGCTATAGTTACATTTTTGAACTGAAGGCGGATTTGGACTACGTAGACTGAGAGGTTTTGTGGCAGTTTATCGTTGAAAGGTGTACCAAAAGAACACATTCATTCTTCGCGAATTCTATTTTTCGTAAAATTTTTTTGTTGTAACGGGTGGATTGCAGTTTAGATGGAGTAGTGTTTTATTGATCGATTCAGTGACACGGAAAACACGTTTGGACGACCTAGAGACCCGATTGGCCCTGCTCCGCTGTCTATCCCAGCCAGTTGAGTCCAGAACGCAAGTCTTAGCCTCCGAGATATGAATCATTATATTTCAGACATACTCTTTATATACCAAACAAACAAACCACATCGTACCATAAAATAGAAAACAACATTTACACAATATTTAACAAGTGAAACAAATATCGACCAATAGGGAGTGTCCATTTAAAGTCCAAGGTCATCGTTAGACTTAACATGATAATTATTGGTATATTCCTCTGCATACCTAACACTTTTTTGCTTCTTCGATACTACCCTTATGATGTTGCCAAAAAATAATGGACATAAAATTTTACTATCGTTATGGTAAACACAATCAACAGTCCTATTTATCCAGTTGCCTTTTCGGTTGGCACTATATGACCATCATTTGGGGCTACTGTAACACATTTCCCAAATCTTCCAGTTCCTATTAATAACAACTTTTCCTTCGACTGTACACTTCAGGGGAACGTTTCGTTCGTGTAGCCACCTAACTTGAACTTAGCATACAAATACTCACACAACTCGAAACGGCATGTTTTTTACTATGTTGTGGAGTAAAACAGATAAATATACCTATATGTAAAGGATTATTAACTAAAAACTTCTATACAACTTTTCCGTAGAGATTGGCGTTTATATCCAATAAAATCTAATCTTTTACTTGTACATAGTTTCATTTCTTCTAATTTCTTTTAGGATTTAACGACTGCCCGTCATTTAACTCGAAATAGTACCATAAATATTCCTACTAGGTTGATTCCATCTGAGAGCGTTGCTCCAAGCGAAACTGATAATACGTCGAGATTGAATGTTTTGGATGATCATACGGCTATGGATGCTGGGTTTTTAAGTGTTACTCCTAATACTCCCGCAGTAAACCGTCTTCTTCATGAACCAATAGAGGAGGAAGATGAAGAACGTGAAGATGACGATCAGTCTTATAGCAGGTCAAAAACAACGATGATAATATAAATCTTGTAAGCTTACATTAATAAATAAGACCTGATATTTGTGTCATCTTATTAATAAGGTATTTATGTTTTACATGTTTCACTCGAAATCTTGCCTGTAATCTCATGATGTAATTCTTATCTTATTGTGCTTAACTGATCGAATATTTACGTAATATGAACGTTTATGCTATTCAGTATTTAGGTTATGATTACAGAAAAACATACACGTAGCTTATATCTATGGGCTTTCAGCTGTCTAGACATTGTAACAATCCTATTATTTATATTTATTATAGCCAATAGGTTTTTTTATCAACCTCATAAATTACGTTCATACCTGATTCAAATGAAAACATTATACTGACCAACTGTACTCATTGGAAGAATGACAGTGCGTCAGTTGTTTATTCCTGAAATACTTAGTTTAAACGCCAGTTCGCTCATGGAAAAAGGATTACTTTCAATCTCTTCTGTATCTAAATTCATGTCACAATTCTGGCATAATTAATCATCCTTGAAGTACGAGTTTACTGTGCAGTAATTCGTTTTGCCCCATTTTATGGGTGTGAAATATGGCCATTAAGAATATACAACTTTAGTGGGTCACTAGTATCCGATCATGGGTGTCTCAAAGCATTGCTCGTGTGTTTTGGGATCACCGAGCGAGCAGTTCGAAGAATAAATACAGAGTACTATGTAAAAGTGGCGAATCTGTTGATGAGTTAGTGAATCTTCATTCACTGATGTAGTTGGGACATGGGTTACATATGTATATCCCTCCTCCTCTACGCGCGACATTGTCTGGTGTCAATTCTTGTTATTCACCTTATTATTCCTAAAAAAAACGACTTGGATTGAATGCAGGTATATTCCAAAATGAAATAGAAAGTCAATTAAGTTATAATCCAGAGTCCTCAGCTCATTCGCTAGCGCTGATTAATTCATTTTCATTGAAAATTAGGATAAGTCACGTGCACATTACCTGGTTGGGGCCCGCGTGATTATCGTCATAAGTGGCTAGAGACTTTGGCTGGCATAGCTGAAAATCGTTCTCAATAGTTCAATTAATATGACGGGTAGTTTGAAATATTTCCCCCTTCATGTATACTACGATAACGAGAATAGTCATTTTATATCAGATCCGGGATTCACGGCCCAGAATAGGAAATCAGATTATCACTAGATAGTACTTTATTTGACACAGTTACAAATAGTCACACTCAGTGAGTTCGGAGAAGAAATCGATAACAGGGAAGTAATTTTATCTCGCTGTGTTAGTGCGGTTCGGTAACTTGAATAGATGCTCATGTGTTTCACATCCCAATTCAGAAGCCTATCATTCAGTACCGTCTCAATGCTATCTTTTAGTGCAAGACAAAAGTTCACATTCGACTCAGTAGTTTAAGCGCTCAGCTTCCAACTGCTAACTAGCAAGTTTAAGTCCCTCTTCAATAAATGTCTTAATAGATCTCTCTAAAAGTACGTAACGTAGGTATATAATTGGTGGTTACTTTGAGAAACAACAAAATATGTTAATTTCCTGTCACTGTGTTAATCTAAGACATGCGAACTTAAATCGATACATACGCCAGGATCTGCGTTGATAAATGACTGGTTTGGTTCCCTCTTTATTTTAAATTCGGAACCGGAGAGAAACAAATCGTCCTTATCTGATAGTTTTTGGTAGATATCGTACTTGAGGTAATATTTATCACAATATGAAGTACGCTAAAAAGCAAGCAGTTATTTTATTTCCAGTAGTTAATCCACATCCACGATGTCTGGCTTACATGTTAGTGTTTTCTGTAGATTTTTTTGATTTCACACCTGTTGGTGTTTTTCATAATTGCAACAGCCTTCAGTCAACCTACACTCCATAGTTATAACATATATTATACACAGATTAGTAATACATTTTGTATATCCCTTTATTAGTAAATGTAGAGTAAATTTGCTTTTCGATTAAGAACAAAAGACGAACTGATATTCCGGCTTTTTTATCGTTGAAGCGAGTCCTGTTGATCACTCTCTTAAAACGTATTAGTTACGCCGTTCATTTCACACAATTATACACGAGGTATTTTTGTCACAAACACTAATTATTCATTAGCTAGCATTGTTTGGTTTGCTCGTTACTGACGTTTGTCCTATTACTATAAGTGTATTTTTGTTTATAAACTCTTATAGCAAAAATGTTTTTGTCTATTCGTTTTCAGTCCTCTCAAAAAAGATATTTTGCATGTTTAGGAAATTGTACACTTTGTCTACGATATGATATTTATTGTATTCGGGTTTTCTTCATATTTATGGCAAGTTGATTATTAATCAGGATGCTGACCAACTGCGCATTCATGTAGTCCATGTTTTATATCAATTGCAATTCTGACATTTGTTCATAAAGTTGAATTTTCTGCAACATACTCAATGTTCTCAGCTAAGATATAGATATCAGGCTTTAACAGCCTTAATTCGAATACACAGATACTTAATTAGAATGAATCACCTCTACACAGCTTATGCACGTGTGTTTCTGGAAGCTTTGCTGATCACATCACTAAATCCACAAAAGAAACAATCAAATGACTTGACTAATTCTCAAAATGCACGTAACAATACATGGATTACCTTTTTACAACCGATTTGGACTAGTGAGGTGAATATCAATTACATGTGCAAACGTGATAAATTTCAGAAAGCATTTGTATTCATACCTAATTAATTCGATTCGCATAAGGTAGATAAGATTCATTCTGTGATCTATCTTCCTAAAATCACAAAATAACGTTTACTTTTTTCAGGTACGATTGTATTTGACAATAGTACATGAGTTGTGTCCAAATGTGACCTCAAATTTACTACTTACGAATAGATTATATTTTGTAGTATAATAATGGAATCCTCTGAGAGTATTCAGAGCGCAAGGATGTATTACCTTATAATTTATGTTCTCGAAGTATTATAAGGTTCTCTGAATGCAAGGTTTATGCTGTAACTTTCTCGAAGTGAAAGGACTCGTTCAAATGAAGAACATTGTATATGCTAATTATATTAGCATATATCTATCTATTCAGTAACTCAGAGTACATATTTAGGCAGCAGAACAAGTTTAATTGTGATACTTTATCAACCTCAATAACAAAGATAACACGAAATTATTATGCAAATTCATCAGAGTCAATTAGTCGTGTTTGCAACGAAATGGTAAAACAATAGCATTAGTTTCTTATATGTTTTACTAACCAGAAAATCAGATGGAATGCTGAGAACTGACCTACTTAGGCTAATATACTTATTTTTAGAGTCTTTTCCCATTGCAATCAAAAGGAAATTAAGTGCTTAGTTAATTGTTTTAAAGATGTCATTGAGATAGAAGTTAAGACTATATATTTCAAAACAATACATACCTGAAGGAAAAACTAGTGTGTTGGCAGCGACAAGAAGCCTTTTTTTTAAACGCACAGTGAAATCGCGAGGTCTAAGATACGCGTTGAGAAAAGAATTCAATTCTGTAAGACGGCTCCCTCGTTGTTTAGTTATTCAATTTGAATTTAGTAAAATGTAGATATGGATAATATATATTTTACTTATATTTCAAAAAGCAGAAAAGTTGTATCGCTACTCAGTGGAATATAACAAAAATTTATTTATTATTAACTCTTTACCCTATGCTCAATTCATTTGAAACTATCAAGCCCAACCTTGGTAAGGATACCTATTAGATAGGGATGTTTTGTCATCTCGATATGCATATATCAGTCCAACTGTCCTTCTGGATATCTAGTGAGAGCAATCCATCACCCCTCACAGTTGTGTGCATGACAAAGCACAGTAAGGTGCACTACAATGCACTCTTAGTCAATACTGTACATCACATTCCGTGTAATATTCGGAGTTTGATGTCAAATCCTAATTAGCTTTCCCTATCTCCAGATGTTGGCTCCTGTACAACGAATGTCATAAGAATGTTTGGATAACGTCTGCACGATTTTTCATCTTTTTTGTTATGTAACGATAACAGATTGTTAATCCAAAGTTAGACCCACATTTACTGACTTTCGTCTTGATTATTACTACATGATTTTGAGTAGCTACACTGCTCCTCCATCTTTATTCAAGCGTAATCATTACCGATTACTAAGTGGTCTCTAAGTACGAACTCTCACCCACTTGCTTTGCACCTTCATTTTCATTGTATCAGTTCCTTCCTAGTTATTATGTTCATCTTTTGATATTGATTTTATAGTCAAAAGTAAATGTGTATTGGTGTCGGATCATGATGAAGAGCTAAGTAAAAAAACTCCGAAATCGTAATTTCTATTTCCAAGATTTAAAGAAAAATAACCCACAATCCCGTAGTATTTAGTTATAGCATCAAAAGTGTAGCCCATGCTAAGTAGGATCAGTACTCAATTCGCCTGACAATGATTACCCAATTTTTTCCGAATAAAAACTTCAATTACTACAAGGCCATATTACCACCAAAACCAGAAAATGACGATCATGTTGATCGGAAAACTTGACAAAACCTAAACGAGACATCACAAATAAAAGAGTAAGCGTATTTCTCGAATTCTGAAACGAGCGGTATTTTTTTTGGCAAGTATTCACTTCCCGAAACATCTTAACCCCTGAGTATCAGACACTTGCCGGTTCATAACCATTAGCACGGTAAGATTATACAACTTTTCGAAAAGCATCGTGATACATTCTTCCCACGCTAAACAGGGATGCGAAATATCTACACGTGTATTTACATTACAGGAGGCGACAATACTAGTTATTTTATATGGACGCGGCCAAATATCTGGTACACTGAACATCTCTTTCGTTGAGTATTTTTTAGGATAGCTTCAAAGGCTAGTCGGTAAGTTTACAACGGTTTGAATGAGACATTATTCACATCCGATAGGGGAATACTTGTTATTCATCTAATAATAGCCTATAATTAAATATGATTGACCGTAGGTAGGATTATGCTTCAACATAACTGTCTTTGGAAGCAACTATTAGGAGAATTTA